GGAATTTATTTTACAAGCTGCCTGGGCTGGCGAAGTTCCAGAATTCATCAAACAGAAAGATAAGGATGATGATGGTGATAATGATAAAGTGGAGCCCCATCGCTGTTCTGTATAAAGTAACATGAAAGAAGTGGTGTCTCCAAAGACATTCCAGAGTTGCAACACACTCTCAACTTGACCCTAAACAGTTTTACATCAGGACCTTCCCAGGACCTGGGAAACTCAGAGATGACCCTATGCACTTGACAGGGTTGTGCTTGGAAGACAGTCCTTGAAGGTTCCAGGCAATGGTCCTTTGAATCTGGAGGACATGGGGCCTCTGTATCTATATAATGTAAGAAAGTTCCCAAAGAACTCCTATCTAAAAGCTCAACAATACTAAAAGTAACTTTAGAGGGAACTAGTGCTTTTCTGTAAATTATTGAAATCTTGGTTTTTAGTCTCATGAAAAGTCTGAAGTAAGCAAGTCTCCCGTTAGAGAAAATGCCAGTGACTTGATTTATAAATGAATTTCCAGCAGCTTGTGAGAAGAATAACTCTAATGTATACGGAGTGGTTCTACTGCCGCATAACACACAAAATAGTTTAATACATTCATTCGCTTAATTCTCTTGATAAGTTACTACAGATAATAACATTCACATTTTCAAACTAGAAAGGGCTAGATAAAGCTCAGAAGTAGAGCAGTTGCCTAGCATGCACAGGGCCCTGGATTTGAACCCCACACACGAAGGATGGGAAACCGAGGCTCCCTAATATTACATCATGGCACAAGGTCACGCAGCTAAATAAGCTGAACCATTCTGCTATGCCCCACCCTCTGTTTCCTGAAGGGCTGAAACGGATGTGGTCTGTCTGTTGGTGCCCAGGTGGCTGCAGTTCAGTGAGGCTCAGAGTCAAGCAGGCAGCACATCCATGGCAGCAAATTCCACACTCAGCCACAGACTGTTGACTTCACAAAGATCTTCCTTTGGTCCCCAACAGGACCAGGCATATGACTAGAGATAAGCCAGAGAACCCCTTTCCCAGTGCTACAAAGAAGAAAACTCAGGACTGGGGAGATGGCTCAGTTCATAGAGTGCTTGCCACACAAGCATCAGTACCCGAATTTGACCTTAGAACCCATGGACGAGATTCTGTGCACAAAGAAATTTTGTCCTTGATTGCTGTTGCAATGCCAGCATCTAAAACTGTTCCCAGCACTAATAGGCATACGATAAATTCATGATAAATGTGAACAGATTTATTAAAATGTGTTCTTCGTACAAAGGATTCAGGTTCATAGACACAGATTAAAGATAAGCCTTGATGATCCATGGCCCTCTTTTGATTACTTAGCTCTTGTAGTTTAGTTTTTTGTTGTTGATTGGTTTTTTGCTTTCTTGAGACAGGGACTCATATTTGAAACCCAGTGCTAAGGAGGCAAAGAAGGGTGGATCCCTGGGGCTCACTGGCCGGCCAGCCTAGCCTAATTGGTGAGTTCCAGGCCAGTGAGAGACCTAGTCTCAAAAGAAACCAAAACGGGACTGACAAGATGGCTCAGTAGGTGAGGGCACTTGCTGCCAAGCCTGACAACCTGAGTTTGATCCCCAGGAACCACATGGTGGAAGGCGAGAAGAACCTATTCCTGTAAGTTGTCCTCCGACCTCCACATACGTGCAATCACACATATATACACACATACACACATATACACATATACAATAAATGTAAAAAAATTAAAGACAGGGTGAAAGGAAGAAAGACAGCACAGCTTGTCCTCTGGTCTTGACATGCATGTACACACACAGGCACTTGCACACACATGAATACACACACGAGAACTCAAAACACTTCTGACCTATTATTGATGAATTAACCCTTTTCTACCTTCATTGCTGTCCTTTTTGGTGGGGATCCCATGGACACTGACTTGGTAAGACACAGACTCTGCCTTTCAGACTTAAATGTCTTTCCAAAATTTTAGTTTTATCCATGAAGGTTTATAATAGCCCATTTTCTTTTTCAGTGGGGTTTTCATTTAAAGAACAGAATGTATTAATTATTCATCTAAGGCAAGAAACATGAAGCTCTTGAGATTTTTTTCTCCCCTCCATAAAATATGGAAGATAAACTCTAGCTCACCTTGTTCACATGGTTTGGGGAAATATACAAAGAATAAAGTTAAAAATAAATAAATGCCCAAAGGCCATCTCCTGCAGTTTTTTCGGGCTAGAGAGGCCCATCACCATCCGCCAGTCTCCCTAAAGCAGCCTTCTTTCAGGTAATGCAGCTCTTGTTTGCCCAAACTAACTTTTTAATTTCATTGTTACTTATTGCTTCCTGTCTCTTCATCTACAAGATTCTGTGCACGTAGAAATTTTGTCCTTGATTGTTGTTGCAATGCCAGCATCTACAACTGTCCCCAGCACTAATAGGCATGCAATAAATTCATGATAAATGTGAACAGATTTATTAAAATATGTTCTTTGTAGAAAGGATTCGGGTTCATAGAAACAGATTAAAGATAAGCCTTGATGATCCATGGCCCTCTTTTGATTACTTACTTAGCTCTTGTAATTTAGTTTTTTGTTGTTGTCTGTTTTTTGTTTTTTTTGTTTTTTTTTTTGTCTTGTTTTGTTTTTTGCTTTCTTGAGACAGGGACTCACTCTGTAGTTCTGGCTAGCCTGGAACTCGCTATGTAGGCCAGGCTGGCCTCACAAAGATCTACCTGCCTCTGCCTCCCAAGAATGCTGGGTTCTTTTAGTTTTGTGGGTTTTAATCATATAATAAATACCTAAGAAAGTAAAACTTAAACTCAAGGGTCTTTTATCTGACCCTATATAAGGCCTATTTTCTGCCTTATCCTCTGGCTTCTCCCTGACTTTGAGATTATCATCATTCAGAACCCTGGGCTCCCTTCCTATTGCCTTAGGTCTGTCTCTCTGGAAGCAAGAGCCTGCAATGAAATTCTTGTACAAGAGAAAGCCCGAGGGGTGTCTCAGGAAATGGAGAGTGAGGCAAAGTAGAGGGTGGTGGGAGAGGGAGTTAAGCAAGAATGACTTGCCCAAAGGTTGAGGGCAGGCCTCAGCCTGACCCCTCAGGACATCTGGAGTCCATTGGCAGTCAAATATTAGCCCTACCTTGAGGCAAAGAATTAGCTATTCATACTTCTGAGCCAGTTACTTCTGAGCTGATATTGTGGAAGACTGATTAGAGAAAATAAGAACTTCACCTCCTAAATAAGACGGCCCCTATTTGGCTGAGGGCAATTCTCTAGACAGGAAGTGAGACTTAGGCCAGTGGGATGACTCCATGAGATGGCACTTGGCGACAGATCTGAAGACCTGAGTTTGATCCCCCAGAACCCACAAGGTTTTGGAAAGGGAGAACAAATTCCTGAAAGTTGTCCTCTGACCTGTGCAAGCATGCCCATGTATACACACACACACACACACACACACACAAAGGTAGAGATGGAGAAAGAATAAATAAATGTAAAAAAGAAAAAGAAAGGGAGACTTGCATTGTTAAAATCAACACTCTCAGTAGCTGAGGGGTCAGTGTGCTCCACCAGAAATGGGGGGCGGGGGTGGTCTGGGCAAGTCTGTTGTCTTCCTTCCCTTAATACATAGTTTTTATCAAAATTTCTATGTCTTCCTCATATGTGTATATTCCAGTGTATGAATATACCACGTTTGTCTACCATCTTCACACTGATGGTCTTTTGAGTCACGGTTTCACTGTGACAAGCAGAGTTTCTGTGACTGTTCTAGCTTTTGTCTCCCACTGACTCTCTCAGGTTTATTTCTGGGTGGAAATAGCTGGATCCAAAGATGTAAACTTCAGAAGATAGTGAGAAACTGTTTTCCAAAGTGGTTTTACTAATTCATCTGCCAACTAAGAATGTATGAGACCCTTCCATTTACGTCATCCAACATTTTGATTTTGAATGAGTGCAGAGTGGTACCTCACTGCAGTCCTGTTCTGTGTTCTCTGTCACTCAGCATCTCTTCACGTGTTTATGGGATGTACCTACTTCCTCTTACGTGAAACATTTTCTCATAATTTGTCAGTTTTTCTACTGGGTAATTTGTGCTTTTCTTGTTGATCTGTAGTTCTCCATAGGTTCTTTGGTGCATTGATTAGCAATATTGTAACCTTCTTTCTTTCTTTCTTTCTTTCTTTCTTTCTTTCTTTCTTTCTTTCTTTTTCTTTCTTTCTTTACCATGTCTTTTAATGAACTTGATGTTATTACAGTTATAGGCTATCATTTTTTGTTTCATGGTTCTGTATGTCCTGTTTAAGAAATCCTTCCCTTAAGGAATCTAAGGACAATCTCTGTCTGAGGGCAAAGGGCAGAAGTGGAGCCAGGTTACAGGTGGATCACAGAAGCAAGCATTGTGGTGACTACAAAGACGTTTCATTACTTCCCAATACAAGTGACCAGCTGGCTGGCTGGCAGGCAGGTGTGTTCTGGTTATAGAACTAGATATATCATGCTATTAGAGCGGGATGCCATTAAAAATTCTAATCATAGATTGTAATTAACTTTCCTTGCTCTGACGCCCGCTCACTAAGCAACCTTCTGATTATAATTTGGCTGCCCATGTATCTTGCCTACAGGGAGAAAATATACTGTTCAGGCCAACGTGAGGATCCAATCCATTAAACAGTTACATGCCATGATGTAAATTAATAAATTTGTATTCTGATTTTATCGTCTGCCTCATCTGGACTCTGAAGGCGTGAGTCAGCATCCTCGGGTCTAATCAACACGGATGCTGAGAATATCAAGCTTCTGGGCTGAAAAGCGAGGATCTAAACCCAGACCAGAGTGAAATCACCAAGGTAACATTGCCCTAGAGGCCCCTCAGCCTGATGAAAAAGGCCTTGGTACAAATCATATGATAGGGACAGGGATTAAAATTTACTTTTGACATTATAAAGAGCTGCATATTCAAGACTGTGGCTCGGTTCCATTCAGGTGAAAGCGAAAAATAAAGGATGATCATGAGACTCATACTGAATATTTATTGGATTATGAGGACACACCAGATGCTGCACAAATCCTAGGCAGAAGGTTAAGATTTACAGACATGATTGAAAAAAAGAAAAAATGAAAAGAAAAAACAGAAAACAAAAACACGAAAAAAAAAAAAAAAGGACAGATGGTATATGCTGAGACAAGAAAAAGAGGTATGTCTGACTGATGAAGTCGTGTTCCACATAGGTCCCCTGGCCCAAGATGCAAAATAGAAAACAACTTTAAAAACAGGAAGAGGAAGCACAAGATATACACTAGAGCCAGAGCTGGAATGTGCTGAGACCCTGAGATTATCCAGGCCAGAGGGATGATTTAGGACCTGTGGGGTGAGGGCAAGATCTTTGAAGTCAGTTCAAAAGGCAGAGTAGAGCTGAGCCGGACAGGACAGATGGGGCTAATTGAGTGATCTTGCAATCTAGCTCCCATTTCATCCATGATCCCTGTGAGCAGGGCCTACAGTGCTGGTGACCCCTTTGTGGATCTCAGTGACACTGAATAGCAAAGGGAAGAAAGTGACAAGAAGGGGAATCATCAGGACACTCTGAGTCTCCTGATGGGAAGAGAGCAAATAAAAAGAGGAGTGGTGCCTGGAGTGGTGGCGCACGTCTTTAGTCCCAGCGCTTGGGAGGCAGAGGCAGGCCGCGCTTTGTGAGTTCAAGGCCAGCCTAGTCTACATAATGAGTTCCAGGCCAGCTGGGGCTACAGGGAGACCCTGTCTCAAAAAGGCAAAAAAAAAAAAGAAGAAGAGTGGAAAGGCCTATGCTGATGGTCCTGTGGGATTTGTTCCTCAAAGAAAAGTGTTTCTGAGCTGGATATGATGGTGCCCAGCCACTTGAGAAACTGAGGCAGGAGGACTGTTTGACCCCAGGAGTTTCAAGCTAACATGGGCAACATAGTAAAACCCTGTCTTTAAAAAAAAAAAAAAAATTCAGAAACAGAAAAATTAAAGGAAGTTCAACTAAAGATAAGCTTTGTCTCCTATAGCACTTGCCATGGGTCCCCACCAGAGCCAGATCCCTAACTTGGCTAGATATGAAAGAGACCAGAAAACCATCAGAGATGTTCTAAAAGTGAGGTAATGACCTTGAATGTAGCCTGCCTAACCAGCTGAGGGGATGGAAAGGCACACCAAGGGCTCAGCAAAACAGCAGGAACAAACATGGTACTGACAGGAGTGCTCTCATGGGTCACCACCAGGATGCGTGATCTCCAGGGAGCTGTACTGAAGAGGAGCTGGCAATGTTCTCTGTCCACCCAGAGGGATCGGACCCACACATGAAGGAGTGAGCTCCTTTAATAATGGCCTTTTTGACTAGTAGAGGTTGTCCCGTACATGCTCCATGATGGTCTTCAGCCCTAGCCAGGTCTCCTCCGCAGTGGGGATGATCTGGCTGGCTGGCAGGAGGAAGCCATAGTGCCCAGTGTCTCTCAACTCAAATGTGAATGAATACTTGATGCCGTTGTCATACGCCCAGTCGATGCTGCTCCCACTAGCTGGATCTGTAAGTCAGAAGAAAAACCTAGTTCCCTTCAGACCTCCATGAGACAGGACTAGACCTCTGCCTAAATGGAGTTCCTTAGGAAGTCAGATTATTTCTGAAAGTCATCAGGTCCAAGATATATATGCCCAAAGGCATATCTACTCCATCTATAGATCTCAGGTCATCCTGTACCATGAAGGGCTATGCTAGTCTCAAACTAAGAGATATTAAATCCTCATTCCTGGATCTGGAGGGATGGTTCAGTGGGTAAAGGGCTTGCCATGCATGAATGAGGGTGGAGTTCAGATCCCCAGAACCCACATAAATGCTAGTTGAACATGATGATGCCCTGTAAACCTTGGGAGGCAGAGTCAGGTGATCCATGGAGCAAACTGGCTAGACCAGGTGAATCGGCATGCTCTGGGTTCAAGTGAGAGGAGAATAATCAAAAGGGACACTGATGCCTCCATGTGCATGCACATATATACATGTACTCACACACATGTGAATATGCATATACGCAAGTTCACACACACACACACACACACACACACACACACACACACACACACACACATAACAACAACTACAAAAACCCTTATTCCCACCTTGTCACTAACTCACTGTAATCCTGCAGGTCACTCAAACCTGTCTTTTTGGAGACAAAGTGAGGTAGACATCCCCCTTTTAGTCCCAGCGACCCCTCTTTCCTTGAAGTTGTGGCCTTGTGTCATCCTCTCTTACACAGGATAAGGCTGGCCTCACCCTCAGACCTAACAGGCTATTGCAGAAAGATATCATGAGAACCAGCATGGTTCTTGCTTATTCTTGGGTCACTTGCTCTGGGGAAAACCAGCTGCCATGACATATGGACACTGAGGAAGTCCAATCAATAGACTTAGTGAAGAACTACAACCTCCTGCCAGTAATCAGCGCTAATTCATCAGGCACAGGCACGAGCCACCCTACAAGCAGACTGTCCAGCCCTGACAAGTCTGCTAGACCACAGCCCTGGAATTCATCTTAACTGTGACCTTCTGTAGGACCCCATGCCCCTTGAATTCCTGACCCACAGAAACAGTGTAAGAAAATAAAAGCTTATCATGCTTAGCTTAAGGTTTTAGTTGCATTTTGTTTTGTTTTTTTTTAACAAGCAAGAGATCACTGACACACAAAAGGAAACACATTCCTCCTTGGGACTTCCCTTTGCCAGAAGGCTTGAAAGAGATAAGAGGTCTATTTTTCTGCTTCTTCTCAGTCAAACTCTACTAAAACAAAAATTTGTCCAAACTGCAAAATGTAGATGATCTTCAATAATAAAACTGCATCAACAGCAGGTATTAATTTTTCAGTGTCCGCCATGAGCCAGTCATATCAAAAACTTTATATTCATATCATCGTCTCTAAAAGCCCAGTGATAGGTATTATTACGGTCCTTGGTTTACAGATGAGAAAATCCAGGCTCAGAAGGGGTAATACAGCTAAGGAAATGCAGATGGGAAGTTGCAGAGCTGGAATTGAAATCTATGTCCACCTAATGATTAAAAAAGAGCCCCGTCTACTTCAGGTCCATCTGGTCTACCAACACCTCTGACAAATGAAAACCTGGGTCCTCTTCCTTCCCCTTATTCCTGAGAGCTGTTCCTCATGAAGACATGTACAGCTGTTCTCAAGACACAGTTTCCTCTGCGATTACATGGTCCCAAGGGAAGAGAGCGGGTTTTGCTGTCCTCTCTGAAATCTTTGTGTGATTCCCATAGTCTTTCTACCCTGAGGAAATGCTTCAGCAAAAAACAATGACACCCGACATTCTTTATATGACAAACTCAAGCATTTCAGAACACACTTAAGATTCTAGAAGGAAGCAAAAAAGCTCTGCTTAGAAGTCAAAGTGATCAAGTTCATGAACTTCACTTTATTGAATTCCTTGATCAATGTGTACCTACTTTTGTGTATGAATGTACATGTTCATGTGTGCAGGACATTTGTGTGCACAGGCAAGTAGAGGCCACGGGTCAACCTCAGATACTGTTTCTCAGGTGCTATTCGCCTTGGGTTTTGAGGCACAGTCTCTCACTACTTGAACTTGGCAGTCAGGCTGTCTCCATTTCTTCAGTGCTAGATTACAAGTAGATGACACCATGCCTGGCTTTTTCATGTGAGTTTCGGGGATCAAACTTAGGTCCTCATCTTGTACATCAAGCCCTTTACCAATGGAGCCATCCCCCAATGCATCTTTGAAAAACAAGATGGGAGCATACTATTATCACCGTTCAGCACACTGTATTTTTCAATTAACACTTGAAGATTATTTCCCATCAGCACATATTGATCCACCTCATTCATTCAGGGGCAGCTTAGTGTTTCCCTGTATGAATGCACTGAAAGTGTTTTTATCTAGCCTTTTCCTAATGGGAATTTTAGATGCTTACCAGATTTCTGCAGTGATAAATAATGTTGTCACAAACATCCTTAAGGCTCGTGATTTATCTGAGTCAGATGAGCCCAAAGAACTTAGTAGATCAGAAAGCCTTAGTAAATCAGAATCAGTGAACTGGAGTGGGGGATGAGTTGCTAGAGGGGGTTGACCTGAGAGCCAAATATGTGGCCATGACAGTCTGACGGAAGGAAGAAGACAGAAAACTCAAAAAAAAGCAGACACAGATCAGTGGGAGGAAATGGGGTGGGGGACAGATGTGAGCAAGGTCTAACCATATGCATGATGAAAACACTATCATAAAGCCCACTATTCTGTACATTAACTTTAGAAATCATTCATTTAAAACATAAAAAGCAGACACAAGAATTAAAACAGCAAAACAGGGTGGGGCTATTTCACAGAAAGACCTTACAGTCCACAATAGCATAGAGGTCCTCAGAATGTAGTAACTGATCTTCAGAAAACTTCTCAATTGTGAAAAGTGGGAGAAGAGGCTGAAATCTCTTCCTTATGCTCTGTTTAAGAAGGCAAGAAAGTGTGAAGTCCATTTTAGAACTACTGCAAAGTCCATTTTAGAACAACTTCATCTAAAATGGTTAATCAAAGAAAAAGGTCTAGCACTTAAAAGAACAAATGTTAACCATGGACTGGAAGGCATGCCAGAGCCCTTGGGGTTAGAAAGAATGCTAATTTTTTGTTGTTGTTGTTGTTTTGTTTTTTGGTCTTTTTGAAACAGGGTCTCCCTGTAGCCCCAGCTGTCCTGGAACTCACTATGTAGACCAGGCTGGCCTTGAACTTACAGAGATCTGCCTGCCTCTGCCTCCCAAGTGCTGAGACTACAGGCGTGCACCATCACGCCCAGCTAAGAATGCTAATTTTTAAAAATCGCTTTTTTAGAAAGCAAGGAAAGTAGGAAGAATACAGAAGATGGATTCTAGAAAGAGACAGGAGGTTTTATGGCTCTGAGTCACCATCAGGAGAGCCTTCCTTTGCTTCTGAAAGAGGCATCTGGTGAGTACCCTTTGATTTGGCTCAACTCAAGCTGGGGCAAAGAATGCGTTTGATGTGGGAGGACAAGGCTATTATTTAAACTGACGTTTGACCCAAAAGCAGGAACCCTGGTGACCCACAAAGATCTTTGGGAGGACCTCCTCACAGGGCTCCTAGTGAGACTCCATTAGCTTTCTTTGGTCCCTGGTTCACTTCAGGCTGATTAAGCAGAGGGTGGAGAAAGTCTCCGGATGGATGTGTCTTCTGAAGAGTTTACAACACTAATGGCAATAAACCATGAATAATTAATGGGTTGTTGCTGCAATTAGCAACATAAACACCAGCATCATGCTAACTGCTCTATGCAGTTCTGTGGCATGGGTGCGGAGATAAGGAAACGAGGGTGCTAAGATCTAACAGCAGAGGAGGCCCAGGGGCAAAACAGCATCTTCCCTAAAGAGGTCTGAAGGGAAAGCCAGGACCATGAATCAGGAGAGCATGTGTTCCAGTGCTAAGGAGGAAAGGAATCTCAGCAAGTTTGCAGGCTGAGAGGGCCGGACAGTGGCTACAGAGAAGGCCCTGTAGAGGGGCACTCCTGTACAAGGGAGCAGCATTGTGCTCTCGTGTTCATGTCTCCCATCTAACTGGAGTTGTGGAGTATGGTATTTTCTCCCATTTGAAGACAAAGTCCCAAAATAAGAGAACCAGTAAATATCAACATCAACAGGAATCCAGTAAAATGCTCAGGTGAAACTAAAACAAAGGTGTGTCCTCAGAATGAGGCTGTAGGCAAAAAGCCTCAAAACCAAATCCAGGTTTTGGGGTTTGGTGGTTTTGTTTTGTTGTTTTGCTTGGCATTGATTGTGGTTAGGAGGAATCCCTAGCCCTTGTTCACTTCTGACAGGCACATAAAGGATCTCACAAAGGTGGTGGGTTTCTTTTGAAAATGGAAAATAGAGAGCTGAGGAGATGACTCAGTTAATGAAGTGCCACCATACAAGTATGAAAACCCTAGCATCCGCAAGTCAAAGCTGGGCGTGGTGACACAGGTCTGTAACCCCAGGGATAAGGAAGCAGAGACAGGCAGATCCCTGGAGCTTGCTGGCCAGCCAGTCTGGTCAATCAGACTATCTCTGGGTTGAGTGAGAGACCCTGTCTCAAAACATAGAATGGAGAACCATAGAGGTAAGACATCCAGCACTGACCTCTGGCTTCCACATGTGCACTCACACACATACACTAAACACACACATACAAAATGGAGACTGGGCTTGATATACATTTTTATAAACCACATCAGGATACTTAATGCAAATGAGGAATGCACAGTCTACCCTGCTGACAGGACCTAACTCATCAGCAGCACATGATAAATAGCATGACAGCAGTAGTGACACTGATGAAGATGACTGTCTACAGCAGCCATTGTCACACAGGCCTAACATAAATTTGGTCTATTACTAACCACAAAAACAATCGGACAACACAGGAACTCACACTTGCAGTTCTCCTCCCATTCCATTCCAAGTTTCCTCCCAAGGCACTTTCTAAATAACTCACACACAGGGGTACTCACAGACGGTGGTGCAGGTCGGTCCTACTCGGTACTTAGTGCCTGAGCGGGAAGCCAGGGCTTCAGCTGCCCTCCTTGCCACGTCATCCTGGAAGGGAGTTGGCAGAGTAAGAGAGGATGGAGGTGAAGAGAGATCAGTGAGCACTGTGAAGGCATGGGTGTTACACTCTTACTAGAAGAGCTGCGTGCAAGCTTTCCAAAGATCTGGTGAGCTGCTTGCCAACCTGTTAGGCTTCTAGTTAAGATAGATGACTGAGATATCCTGAGGGAGGGGAATGTCATGTTCAGGAACATGATGAAAGGCCAAGTGTGTTCAAAAGGAAACCCTCGAATGGAGAGAGCCAGAATCTGTTCCACACCTAGCCATGAGTCTGGGAGGGGCTTCTTCAACCCACAGACTCCTGGGCTGGCTGTGGCCTGGTAACAGGGGTGTGCCCAAGTAGACCAGCACAGAGGCACAGGCCTGCAGCTACCCTGCAGATACCAGTGCTGTCCCCACAAGTTTTCACCATTCTGGGGGTGAGTCATGGAATGTGACACTGAGCACCTCTAAGCTAAGACCTATGCCCTCCTTCGTTTCTTCTTTAACTAGAGCAAAGACACCTCCCCAACCACAGTCCTTAGCAAGCAGTGAGCTGGTGACATGTTCTAGTCAGAAAGTCAAGTGAGAAAGCAGGAAGGAGTCTTGGAACTCACAGTTGACAGAGAAATAAGAGGGATTGTCTTCTTTTTGTCCATAGGTCTGGTGGCACAACCAAAAGGTCAGGGAGCTGCTTCTCAGAGCCCTTCATGGTACCCACTCAGGATCCTGGACTTGCCCTCTAAAGCTGTAGATCAGCCACCATGGCAGTGCCAAGATCAAGCAGGCCAGGACCAGGCAGCTACTCACCAGTTCCTCAGCATCTGGGGCCTTCTTGACCGTGTACCCATAGGGGTACATCAGCAGCTGTGAGTAACTGTGCAGGTCAATGAAGCATTTGAAATTCCCATGATTTTGAATAAAATCCACCACTGATTTCACCTCCACTTCAGAATTGGGGTAGGGGCCATGGTATACTTCAGAGCAAGGGTTGTGACTGGTTCCCTCTCCTGTTGAGGACAATCAGTCAGCAACAGTAACCCACAGACCAAGAAGACAGAAATGAAGACACTCAACCCCAAGGACAACTGGAGTGATGGACAGGTTGCTGTCAGATGCCCCCAAGAACCTACCCATGATGGGTGCAGATTCTGAGGAGGAGGTTAGAGAAGGAGGTGGGAGGTGTTGAGTGTGCTACAGATGAGAAGAAAAATTATTGGAACTTCTTTAAATGGATAGAGTTGACCTCGTATTGTGCTAATAGCAGTTGTCATAAATAATTAATATCACACTTGAGAATGAGTTGTAATTAATAAGTATGCTAGATAATTAATATGAATACCAATAAATAATGAAAATGACTCCATTTATTCTGGTGTCAGCTTATTCTCTTGGTTCAGGTCTTAATGACCAACTGCTGCCAAAAATAATCTATTGTTGTGGCTAAAAATCTCTTGATTATTTAGCAGGTATTTAGATAGATTGCTTTCTGCATTACTTCACAATAAGGTACATATGTGTTATGTGTCACGCACGTGTGTGTGTGTGTTTGTGAGCATGCACACGTGATTGGATTAACATCAATGCCCTCAGGTCCTACATTCCAATCAGTTACTTCCCTACAGCCATTATTTTCCCAATGTGTTTTATGATATTTCTATATAATTAAAAGGAATTCATTAAAAATAAAATATCAGAGTGCTGGAGGTGTGGCTCATTTTCAGATTACAAAAAAATTAAGTAAAGCTGAATTTAATTATTTTGTTTTGTTTTTATGTTTTGTGTTTGTTTTGTTTTGTTTTGAGACAGGATTTCACACTGTAGCCCAAAGCAGGCCTGTTATACACCATGTAGCCCACACTAGCCTTGAACTCAAAATAATCCCCGTTTCAGTCTTTTGGATGCATGGAATTGTAGGGGTAAGCAACCACCCCAGCCTTGTTGCACATGATTTTAATATGGCTGATGAGGAAATACCAGCCTAGCCCTAAGCTCATTTAAAAACTATACATACATATACACATATATGTGATATGCCATATGCATATATATATATACATATGTGTGTGTATGTATATGTATCTTTGGAATAGTGGAAAAGAACTATGTGAATTTAAAACTGGAAGGTAGCCAGGTGTGGTAGCACACGCCTTTAGTCCCAGCACTTGGGAGGCAGAGGCAGGCAGATCTCTGTGAGACTGAGGCCAGCCTGGTCTGCATAGCAGGTTCCAGGCCAGCTGGAGCTACAGGGAGACCCTGTCTCAAAAGACCAATAAATTAATAAAATAAAATAAAATAAAATAAAGGTGAGTTTGGATCCTAATTTTTGTCAGCCACGCAATCTTGAGATTGTCTCTGAGCTTCAAGAACAAAATCCACTCCATGGGTAAGAAGAATTATATGGGCAATGGTTGCCTCTTTTGTGGGGATAGCTTTTACATAGCCAAAACTCAGAACCCAGGTTACCTAATTCTCATTCTTCTTCTATGACTGCAAGCTGCTGAGGCTCCTACTTACAAAGGGGAGGCTAACAGCTGGAATGTAATCGTCACAACAGGACCATAACTGTTAGGGTAACAGTGATAACTGGTCTCCTTTGAGTTGCTACCAGAAGCCCTTCTGTCCACCTTCAACTTGCCCAACCATAATTGGAATGGCCAAACTAAGGAAGGACCTTGGATTCACGCATCTTAGATGTGAGAGGTTTTTAAAATATTAGTAAGGGCTAGGAGTATAGGTCAATGGAGCACTTGCCTAGAATTCACAAGGCCTCACCATAATATACAAATAAATATATCAATGATTTAAATTAACATAGTTATAATCACAATACAAAGATGGCCTGTCCCACTGTTGTCTCAGGGGGACAGGGATTATTAAATCATTCCCTTTCAAAGTCACAGCAATAAAACTTAAAAACAAAACAGACAGAATACAGACACAGAGGACCTAGAGAATGCCCTGAGTCTCTCAATGAATAGAAAAATAAAACTAGAATGGAAACTGGCTCCCTGACCAGGCTCCAGGCACAGGTGGACAGATACATCCAGTGATGGTAGGATAAGAAACCATATCCCCCCCACCTACCTGCAAAACTTGCATTCCAGTTTCTATTTGGATCAGTACCAATGCAGCGGCTTCCTGGGTTCCGAGACCGTGTCTTCCTCCATAATCGGTTCTGAAAAAGCCACGCAAGGGTATGTCAGGACACAGAAGGAATGAAGGGTTTCTCTGGGGGGCTAAGATCACGATAGATGAGCTGAGCTGTGTGTGGCCCTGCCTGGGGGCACATCTTGGCGCCAGTCCTCATGCCTGGGCAGTCTGCTCTCAAGTCTCAGAGAGAAAACAGTGTGTACTTCTGGCTATAAGACAGGGGCTCCCCGAAAATGCCCTGATGAGGACTTTATACACAAGAACCAAGCTGGTCTCATTTGAATCCATTGAATAACTATTGGCTTAGGTAGAAGTGGGACCAGTGGCCACTGCTGATCACCAATGCCACAGTGGTGCACAGTGCCTATTGTATTCTAAAATATTCTGCTGAATTCAGTCAAACTCTCAACTAGGAGACTAAGGGAACAAATTAAATGCTACAACAAAGAAGCCATCAGCCAAATGCAGAACGTGAGACACTGTACAGGAAATTACTTAGTTTTTCCAACAAATGACTGACATTTTAAAAGACTGTGTTTGGTGGTGCTGCCTAATAGACTGTAGAGACACAGCAACCAGATGCAGCGCACAGACCTTATTGGATCCTGACTTCAACAAATTGACTCCTGGGAGACAGTTTTAAAATAATCGGGGGTGTTAGATGATATTTAAAAACTTCCATTAATATTTCAAAGGTGACAGTGGCATAGTGGGTTTGGGTTTTTATTATTATTATTACCAGCAGCTAAAGGTGCACACTAAGGTAGTTGTGAGTGAACTAACATGATGTATGCTTTAAAATATGTCAGGAAAAAATGTGTAGGAAAAAAAAAAGATGAATAAAAGATTGGTAAAATGTTGAAAATTGTTCAAGACCTACAAAAGAGTGTTCCTTAGACAATTCTCTCCAGGAAAAAAAAAATTTAATTAAAAAAAAAAATTTCCCCCCTTGTTAGTCTCAGCTCAGAAAAATGACCAGAAAATAACATCCAAGGAAGCTCCTAACCTGCACGCTGGTGGGAGCTGTCTCCAAGGGCACTAGAAAATCAAAATTTCAAGAGGCAAGTCCAATCCAAGCCCAAACCATTTGGGAGTCACTCACTTGGGTATGTGTGTACACATATCCATCAGGATTGGCCACAGGCAGCAAGAAAATATCCACTTTCTCCAAGATGGAGGTGACAGCTGGATCCTTCTGATAATCAGCTACAATCTAAGCAGAGACAACATGCTTGTCAGCTACATCGCGGCAGGCCAGGTTCGTAGGTCTCCCCATATGTCTTCCTCAGACACCCAGCACTCCCCTAGAATGGATGATCTCACAATGGTCTCCAGTCTCTTTTTAATTTTTTTGGTTTTTTTTAGACAGGGTCTCCCTGTAGCCCTAGCTGTCCTGGAACTCACTATGTAGACCAGGCTGGCCTTGAACTCACAGAGATCCACCTGCCTCTGCCTCCCGAGTGCTGGGATTAAAGACATGTGCCACCACATCTGGCTAAGGCTGACCTCCAGTCTCTTAAGCCTCCCTGAAGCCCCATGGTTTCTGAGAAGCCCTCTGAGTCCCTCAAACAGAACTGTATAACAACTTTAACTGCAAGAAGTTAAGTGGGAGGTACTCACTTTGTTCACCCTCCCAGGAAAGGAATTCTATATGGACCACCTTTCCCTCCCAATGCTGGCTTAACACAGAATTTCTTGAAGGATCTTGGGGTAGTATGAGAATCCTGAAGGTCTTCAGGGCTTAGAAGGGGATGAAGGCAAAGTTCATCTGAGTCTGATGCTGAGTATAGCTCTGATCCTTTTGCAGGGTCCTCTGTGAACTGGTGTCTCAGGCCCACCTTTGAAATGCTCTCCTTCCCTTTGTCACTTAGCCACAGTGCATTGACCAAGGGGCCTTGACCATTTCCTTCTCCCATCTGAAAAGGTCCCAGCCTACCAGATCTGTGCAAGGCACCTTCCCAACCTCATTCCCTGGCCCCCCACCCCAGGCCCACCAGAATCCTTGGCTAATTCCAGGTGACATGACCTTCCTTGCTGTCCAGATGGCGGTGGCCTGTGAGATCCACTCACGGGAATGGATGCCTGCATTCAGCCAAATGGCCGGCCGCTGCTTGCCTCCTCCTGTGCTGAACTGCAGAAGGGAAAAGAGGCCAGAAAATGACCTGTCAGCCTGCATCTCGACTCACCTCTCCTCTCCCCAGCTCTCTCCTATTCATTTAATTCATTTAAGATAATTCAGAGACCAAATGTTCCTGAGGGCACCATCTATTTATCAGGCTTATCCGTGACCAGGGAGCTTAATTGGTTGGCTGCAGCTCTGGGCAGCCCAAACATCTCCAGCTTTGGGAGTAAATGGGAAAGAGAAACAATTGGTATTGTGGATCAGAATGCTAGTGTGATTAGAAATAATAGTATGTCTCTTGAAAGATCTCAAATGGTTTCCCAACAGAGAGCAACACAAGGGTGCATGAACCAGGCTGTTTTGCTGATGCAATAAATGAATTCGGTTTTAAATCACGAAGAAGAGGGCTTCACTATAGCCCTTTGTAAATGGCAGTAATGAATTCTGTCTCCTGCCTTTACCATAGCATTGGGGTCTCTTGGGTCAGAGCTTGGTGCTAATGAAGGCAGGGTCTCTATCAGATGGGCAAATAATCTAAATGTAATCATTTTTAAAGGAACCAGCTCAGTGGTATGTCTCCCCTCCCGCTGGTAATTTACTATAAACCTGGCTTCTTCGGGGCTCCTATGAAGCTAAGGGTTTGGCGAATTCTTAGCACAACCAATTGTTCCATGAATTTCATGCCCAAATTCCATTCTGTCTATTCAGCTGGATTACTTATGTAATTTATGTCATTGTCATAGTTCTCTACCTTCTGTGCCAGTACAGACCTGAATCTGTTAGAAATATCTGGAAATAAGGCTCCATGCAGCCAAGGATCCGAGACTGGGTTTAAAACTGCATCTACCCCAAAATTGGCTTCCTAGGTTCTTTTCTGGTTAAGTAGCCCAAAAAGCAAAATGGAGTTTGTAGGCCCGTCCTCACTTATCTTGCTAGGTGGAAGGCAAGAGCGTGGCCCTCTGAGAATTTCAGTCAGAGCATGGAACAGGACGTGCTCTTTCTAATTGCCCCATGTGAGGCAAAAGCAAGGATTCGATTCAGTCAAAATGTCTGCTGGAACAAAGGTGATGCCCAGCTTCAAGCTCCCCTTGAAGCCAGGAGGTCTAGCAGCTGTCACTCATAGTAGATAAAGGGCTGTGTCTTAGAAGTCAGACCCTTAGAGGAATCTTGGGCCTCACCTTCAGAACATACATGGGCCGCTTTTCAAATGTCTGTCCGATCTTCACTCTGCTTGCCAGGTCAGGAAAATCTGTGGCAATGCTGTCCATTTCATGATAAATCTGAAATGTGAAAAAGTGAACCCAAGGGTTAAAAAATTATTAATTTTTTTAAAATAGGGTTTCCCAGTGAAGCTGAGGCTGAGCTAGAACTTATAATAGCCCACATAAGTTTTGAACATGCAGTCTTCCTATCTTACCCTTCCAGGTCATAGGAAACAAACTATGCCCAACTCAATGATATTTTGAAAGCCAGGTCAGTTCTGGGTGGGTATCTGTGAACTTTATCTTGTAAGTCTCAAATTTCTTCTGGGCCCCAAACCTTAAGGTTGATTATATTATCCACACGGGCTGTTTATTACAAGGAGATGCCTGAAGAGCCATTTTCTGCAGTTTTCTAGAGAATAACATTTCATTTGTCCATAAAATTATAGACTAATCAAGTAAAATGAGAGACTTAAACAGATATTTCTCCAAAGTGTGATCCTGGACGGGACCATCAGAATAGCCCTGCTTAGCAAGGCCCTAGGTAGTAGGACTCTCCAAATTATCTTCCACCAATAAAAAAGCAAAGTATGCACAATTTACATGTATAATATATATAATTACATATGTATATCTATACAAACAGATTGCATATATTATAAAATAAGAAAATGCAAACGGGGGGCTGGGGAGATGGTTCAGTGGCTAAAGTGCTTTCCATGTAAGCATGAGGACTTGAGTTCAGAGGCCCAGCACCCACATAAAAAGCTGTGTGTGGCAGTGTGCAACTGTAACTCTAGGGATGGAAGAGTGGAGCCAGGAGGATCCCTGGGGCTCACTGGCCAACTAGCCTAGCCAATCACTCAGCCCAGGATCAGTCAGAGTCCCTGTCTCAAAAAAAATTTAAAGGTGGAGAGTGAGAGAGGAACCATTTGACATTGACCTCTGACCTCTATACACTCCCTCTCACTCATGCAAGTATATGTGTACACACATAAGCATGTAAACACACATAAAAATGAATAAATAAATACAATAAAAGTTATAAATGTCTTCTACCATCCTAGTGAGCCATGTTGCCTACCTAACTTTGGAGATGATTTCTCTAAAGGTTTTATGACAGAAAGTAATCAAAAGTTGTAAATAGTGGTTAAGAATATACTTGATTGCTTTCAGGGAAAAAAAGTTTTATTAAATAGTTGATCAGCTGGGTATGGTGGCACATGTGTACAATCCCAGGACCTGGGAGGCAGAGGCAGAGAACTGCAAGTTTGAGGCTAGCCAGAGATGCATAGCAAGACCCTGTCCCCCAAAAATCAAACAAGCAAATAAGCATTTATCCTTTTTAGTTTCAAAAATTATTTGCAGGCCAAAAGAAGGAAATAAACAAATTTGTTTAGTCCTGGGGAGAGCTGGAGATATAGCACAGTGGTAGAGCATTTGCCCAACATGTTCAAGGCCCTGGGTTCTATCCTCAACACCACAAAAGAAAAAGAAAGAAGGAAGGGAGGGAGGGAAGGAGGGAAAAGGGGAGGGGGAAGGGGAAGGGGAGAGGAGGGGAGGGAAAAGAAAAGAAAAGAAAAGAAAAGAAAAGAAGAAAAGAGCTATATAGCAGAGGAAAACGTGCAATCAATGTGCTCCAAGGACCTATTGCAGACTGGCAGTCAGCTCAGCACAGCGAGCAGAAGCAAGAGCCACTTCCCAAATACATAGGCAAGCCATTTAAAGTGCACGGCAAGTGGCTCACAGTCAGTTCAAACACTCCAACCTAGAAAACTGTAGATACCAGAAATGAAGGGGAAATTAACTACTAGAATGGAGGGCAGGAGAGGAAGCCCTAGTTGTAAGGGTTTACAGTCATCCATGAAGAGGAACAGAGGGTTTAGGATCCAGCATGGAAGAAAGAGAATAATTTGGCTTTTAAAAGGTCTTGGAAACTGAGGAGATGACTCAATCTGTAAAGTGCTTGAAATGCAAGCATGAGGACTTGAGTTCAATTCCCCAGGACCCAAAAACAGGCATAGCAGAGCTCATTTACACATACATACACATACATACATACATACATACATACATACACACATACATGCATGCATAGGAAGTTTTTTTGAAAGCACCAAGTTGTATCCAGATGTGAGGTACAAATTCACACTGTTAGCCACTACCACAGCTCACACAAAGGACCTGAAACTAGAAGTCCTTGCAGAGACAAACATGGAATTCCCACTGGAGACCTAGAAAAGCCTAAGTGACCATAGGAGATAAGCTGTTTAGAGCTAGTTTTAGGAAGAGCCCAAAATGAGCCAGTCAGGAGGGAAATGGCACAGCAACAAGCCTCCAGGGAGCAAAAGTTAGCTAGAGGTCAGCCTACAAGGAACACCCAAGGCCAGAGAGAGCTGAGGCAAGCGGTTAAGAAAATATGGCAGTCTGCAGGTAAGCACAGATGGCCACTCTGGGTCCCTGGGTGACATTTGCAATTGGTTAGCTCAGCTCTAGAGGGCCCCACGTTAATGAGGGTTTGATCTCTGTGTGGGCCCTGAGCTCTGCTTTCGTCCATGGCCTGAGACTGAACTGAACGCCTAACTTTATCCAGCTGCTTTGCAGATGTATGTCATTGGTCACAAGAAAGATCAAGGGGCAGTGTGGTTGGAAGTAAGTGTACACAATAAACAAAGCTACTGACAATCATGGGAAAGAAGCTGAAATAGTTGACCAACCTTTGAACTAATCTCTCATCTAAAAGAAAAACAACTTGAAGTATATACCTCAGGAAAATTTGCCCAGGAACACCATGCTTGCACATAAAGAACAATATGCATTAAGATAGAAAAGAAGGAGAATAGCAATTTAGATTTGTGGGGATGTGCCCAAGCTGGCCGAGTCCTTAGACTAATGAAAGAGATGCTAGGGACATAAAAGACCTGTATTGTTCACGATGCCATTCCATTCTGCAATCTGTTTTGATTTCTCAAGTTCTAATATCATATGAAATTCTGCTCCAAGTTTTTCATTTGAAAATTTGGCTTACCTTGAAAGTCAGTCATCTATATAAAGTGGTTTTTAACTAAACACAGCACCAAAATGCATCAGGGAACAAATATACATTATACGGAGTCATGATAAATGAGTGGAAATATTTGGTTAACCTTGGAAATAACCACTTGTCTACTTGCCTGGAATAAGTGGCATTTAATTCTGGGCTAGGGATTATGATGGAGGAGAAGGTTGAATTAACAAGGACTGGGAATGCTTGCGATAATTTCTTGGCTTTCTTTAAGAGGTTGCTTAAGAAACGAAGGATGTCTACAGGGGAAACTGCAGTTTATGTTTCACAGGCTCTTACATGCTAGCAGGAGTTAAACAACCAACTGGAAAGGACTAAAGTGTACACATTTTAGCCCCTCAGTGGAGGGGTACTGTGCTGAAGTTGGAAGTAAAGAAAGTGGTTACAAAATTCAAGAAACAGAAGTTGGCCTGCTCTGAAACACTCACAGCTTCCAGGGAATGGTAAGATCCATAGTTGAAGCTAGTACCACTCCGCTCTTGACCCTCATTGTGCTGCATTTCTTCATCTTCCATATCTAAAAGCACCTAAAGAAGAGACACATCAACATGGTGAAGTGATCTCCTGGAGATGGTAGGTTCATCTTGGAAAATGGGCCAGCCAAGATGGCGGCACCCTTAGCACAAATGTCCAAGGTCAAAGGGGGAAAGTAACTTAAATTATTCAAACCAAAGATTAAAATTCAAGGAAGTGTAAGTTCATGCTGCCTACTTCTAAAATCTCTTTCATCTTAACTATATCACATTCTAATGCCATTAATTTATAAGGGGTTTAAATTAACTTATGGGGTAGGGCAATGGAATTATCTCTGTTTATTTCTGCCTGAGATCTTTATGATCAACATTCTTGGTTTTATTGAAATGTTTCAGTACATTAAAAACACTGCTGTGTTCATGCCTAGGAGAAAAGCTATAGTTGTGTGTGCTGATCATCACAATCAGTGTTATACAATTTTTTAAAAATCATGCCTTTCATAAAAAAGGGGAAGACCAGATTTTTTTCTATATATCTATAAAACTTTACTTCTTAGTATCCAGTTTACATCACCCATTCAGACCCACTTATACCCTGGAAGCCACATATGTGCTGTTCGGTTATACTACAGTGTGAAATCTCTAGACATCAACTTGCATCTGGTATCCAGTGCCTCTGAAATACACAGCTTGGGAAACCATTCAGAAACAAAGAAATTCTTATAAGCACTCATACTTTGAAGGTTCTTGGCAGATGTCTGTGACGTGTGAGGATGATTAATAAGCTCACAGCTGCTCACACCATCAGGAAACTCCTGGGCCAAATCACCAATTAGTCTATAACTCACCTCGGTGAAGGAGAGATTATGAGCCAGACACTGTCCTGCTGTTCAATACAGGTTGTGGGGCTGGACCATGATATTCCCTCTGCTGGGAGCTATTGGTGACTGTCCCCCTTTCTTAAAAGGTGCTTCCTATAACTGCTCCCACCCCACTCTTGCTTTCTAACTTCAAATACTGGATCATATATGATATAACAGATACTGTTAGATAGATAAGAGAATTGTCTCGATAAAGAGTTGAAGTGAGAATCACTATTACCATTTTAGTAATGATAAAATAGAAGTTCTCAAGGTAAAAAAGGTTATCCAAAAACTCAGACTAAAATGAGGAAAGTCAAGATTTTGATGAGATCTGTGTAGCCCCCTGTCCATATACTACACGGTCCCCCCTAACAAGTTGCTACACTTTACTTCCATCTGCCTCAAGTTTTTCTCCTGTGAGATGAAAAGGATGACATCAGATCTTGAGAATCTCTCAGGTCCAGTCTGGATTAGTGACTTAGTCCTATTCAAAACCAGTCAGAGTCCACGGCCTACCTACCTGTAGGTCTTCAATGGTCACTGAATAGTCTAAGCCCTGGGACTTCAAAAAGGATTTGATTGGCAGCAGACTGACAGAAGGGACCAGAATATCTACAGGCTGATCCAAAGTGGAAGGAGATTTCCAGACATTGAGCTGAAAGGAACAGAAATACAATCAGGTTAAAGGACAGTTCAGGTAAAACACACAAAGAGCTCATTCTTCTAGAATTATTGCCAAAAGCCAGAGGGATCCCCGTGAGACTGAATTCTTCCCAAGGCCAAACATTTCATAAGCATATCAGGTCAGACCTGCCCAGGAAGCAATACCTGGCAAAATCCAAGACACAGCAACCCAAGGGCAACTAGAAGGAGCCCACAGCCCAAGCCTCCATTCTAACAGAACTGCATAGAGTTCTACAGCCTTTCTCCTCCCCTGCACCTGTGTCATTTGTGAGAATGGCACATTGACTAATACAGTATTATGAAAAGAAAACGTTCCAAAATAAAAACAATAGCTCTGTCAGTACAAGAGCCTTTCCCTCTCCAAATTCAGAATATTCTAGAGGATGATGAACTACCACGTACCTTAAAGTTGTCTGAATTCACTAACTGAGTCAGTTTTCTGATCTCGTCTCCATTTCTGACATTAATCCTAAACACTTGGTCCCTGGAGAAAGAGATAGGGAGCAGAAGATAATGGTGAGCTTTCAGCTGGCAAATAAACCCCAAACCACTATCCCAGACAGAACTGGGCTGAAGAAAGGAAATGGTCTAGTCTTTGGTTATAATGTATAGCCATTAAAAATAAGGTTATGTGGCAAGTATGCAAAAGTGCTTATGGTACAACTTTAAGGGAAATATTAATTGAAAGATCAGGACACAAAATTGTATGTATGCCATGATTCCAAGTGTGGAGAAAGCAGATGCATTGGAGGGAAAACAGACAACGGAAGTACACCAAATGCTGACAGTGCTCAAGCTCAGGTCGTGGGATTATAGATGACTTACTTTTTTTCCTCTGGTATCTGTTTTCTGTAATGTGGCCATATTACTTTATAATGAAAAACATACATTTTTGCAGAAAGGAAGGGCCCTGAGTTACACATCAGACTGACTGAAGACACGAAGAAGCACTTCTTCACTGTCAAAGGCAGGGGCTGGAAGCCTGGGAAGAGCCAGGAACTTTTGGGAACAGACCCTGCAACCGGGGAAGGCCAACTGCTGGCCTCTTAGAGACGAAAGACTGAGACAGCAAATGGTCCCTTCCAGACACAGAGCCCTGTGCATGTGCTTTACAATGGAACTGAACATAGACCAGGGTGTGAGGGATTCATGGCAGCCCACAGGGCCTTATGAAGAAGCCAGTGGCAGCCCCCCTTTTGTAGTCTGTCCTGTAATTGTTCTATATACATCATTCTGCTTCTGCAGTGTTGGCAGGGGAAGAGGCCCCCAAAGTCCTGTGTGGGTGGAAGAAGTTCCGAGCCTGAAAAACCGCCTTTGAGCTCTCAGCTCGCTCAGAGAGCCAAGGGAGCCATTAGGCGTTGCTAGGTGACGGTCCAAATGAATCTGCTCTCCACTCTGTCACATGCGTCATCCCTTTGACAGGAGTGAATGCAGGAAGAGCTGTGGAGAGGGCTGTGAGCTGAAGGACCTGTTGACAGAGTAAATGGCTCTGTCACAGGGAGCTAAATGTGAGGCCTCACGTGGAAGCTTCTCACCAGAAAACTGGTTCAGTTTGGGTGGACTTCCGGAGTTTTATTTGGTTCTAGAAAGTTCGGGGGCCCGGGGGGGGGGGGCAGGCATCCCCAGAGATTTAGGCCAGGCCGAAAGAAATAAGGCTTATTACAGTGCTCCTCTCACTTTGAGTGGCTGGACTGGAAAAGGAAAAGAAAAAGAAGGTCATATGAAAGTCTCTGGAGTATGAAAATTATGCATTCACCCACGCATGGTGGGTACATGTTACTTTTTCCAAAATGGTGACTTCACAGCAGAACTTCCATGCTCAAGCCACAACAATGGAACACGGTGATTTTATTGGTCCTGAAGAGGATTAAGTCCACAACCCATACCATCTTGCTCTAATGAGCCAAGCTACACAGGTCCAAAAAACAAACATCTGGACTGCCCAAAGCTGGTTTTCTTCTACCCTAGCTATTCCCCCATGGTCCTGGAAGTGAGCAGCTAACTGTATCCCATGAAAGCTGCCAAGCTCCTTGGACCAGCCTTGGCTTGGCAGGTGTCATATGAACCTGTTATGGTTCAGATATGGTTTGTTTGTGATGCCAGTTTTGTACTAGAAATTTGGTTCTCCAGGATGGCAATGTTGGAAGGTACTAGGAGCTTACAGAGGCAGAGCCAGGTGGGCCTTAGAAGGGGGTTGATGCTAGTTTTATCGTGTTACTTCCTTGAAAGTAGATTAAAAAGAGTGAGCCTGCAGGGACCATGGAAACAGAGGGGGGCTGAAGGATTATGAGACAGAGGCCAGGGAGGACAGGTGCAAAACAGGGTCTTCTAGACATGACAGGAGGACAACTGGACTCATGAGCTCATAGCAGTTGTGGTTGCCTGCACAAGACCCATACAAGATCAAGACAGTCAACATTCTAGCATGGAAAGTGGAGGTGTTTACAAGCCTCTACCCTTAACGGATGAGTTCTGGACAGTTGATGGCTTCAGGTGAAAGGGGAGTCAGTTTTCCTTAAGCATGTGGCCCCTTGTAGGTCATCCACCCTCCAGTGGATGGCCCCACACACAGGAACACATGGACAACCAACCTGGGCTTGAGGCCTGGACTGAATAAAAAGAAGGAAGCTAGTTGAGCATGAATGTTAATCTCTCCCTTCTTCCTGACTGTGGATGTCATGTGGCCAGCTGCTTCAGGCTCCTGCCACCTTGACTCCCACCATGATGGACTATACCCTCAAACTGTGAGCCAAAATAAGTCCTTTCTCCCTTAGGTTGCTTTTGTCTGTGCATTTTATTATGGCAACAGGAAAAGTAACAAATGTACCCAATGTCAAGTATTTTGTTATAAAAAATGGACTGATAGAAAACCCATTGGGCTCACAAAGAGTTGGACTACAGCCCTGGGAAGATGGAGAGTTAATCTGACCTCTGAGGACAAAGACCCATCTATTAAACTCATGCTTTGCCACCACCCATCCCCAACACTACAGAGAAAGGAGTGTCTTAAAAGAGAGCCTTTTAGGGGATGGAGAGATGACTCGGTAGCTAAGAGCACTTGCTGCTCTTGCAAAGGATCCAAGTTCAGTTCCCAACACCCAAGTTGAATGGCTCATAACTGCCTGCAACTCCAGTTCCTGGGTATTGATGCCTCTGGCCTCTGTGGGCACCTGCGCTCACATGTGCATACCCACACAGAGACAAATAACTAAAAATAATAAGAACAAATATTTTTTTACAAGAATGGTAAAAATAAATTTAAAAAAATTAAAATAAGTGTGGAAGAAAGATCCTATGCATCAGCAACTTGAATGACTAAGTTAGATCTTTGTAAAATAGAACTGGTGGGCTGGAGAGATGGCTCAATGGTTAAGAACACTGGTTGTTCTTCCAGAAGACCTAGGTTCAAATCCAAGCACTCACATAGCAGCTAACAACTGTCCGTAATTCCAGTCCCAGAGGATCTGACAGCCTCTCTGACCTCCGCAGGCATTGCACGACACAGGTGCACTTACCTACATGCAGCCAAGACACACACACACACACATAAAATCAAAAAAAAAAAAAAAAACCAGTGCTGGCTAGAGCAACACAAAGAAGGGGAGGATGGAAAAGAAAAAGAAAAAGAAGGTCATATGAAAGTCTCTTTGGAGTATGAAAATTATATTATGCATTCACCCACGCATGGTGGGTACATGTTACTTTTTCCAAAATGGTGACTTCACAGCAGAACTTCCATGCTCAAACCACAACAATGGAACACAGTGACTTTACTGGTCCTGAAGAGGATTAAGTCCACAACCCATACCGTCTTGCTCTAATGAACCAAGCTACACAAGTCCAAGAAACAAACATCTGGAGTATTGAGGAGGCTAAACAGAAGCTGGTGCAGAATAGAACACTACCGTATACCCTCCTCCACCCCCTGCATGCTGTCTGAGTTCCAGCCCTGCTGAAATCCCACATTCACCATGTACTTTTGCCTTTGTACGCCTCAAACCTGCTGTTCTCTCTGCTTGCAATCCCGGTCCTTTCCTTAAGTGCCAGGAAGTCTCCCACCTAGTCTTCAAGACAAGTTCATGTCACTCAAGAAGCTTTCCCTAACCAGAGTTGAGTACAGTGGCACTAAAAATTGGCAATGGTAAGCTCTAACATTATTCTTATGAACATCAGCCCATCGATTTCTGAAAGCAGAGGGGTATCATACAAACAGCAGTCTGTTTAGGACATGACAATGGTTGAGCACACCCTATCTGTACCAGCCGGAAATGCATTCAAAGACCTTAAACTTGAACTCTTTCTGGAGATAAGAGATTAGCTTGGGAGAGGGGATATGTTGGAATTTGCAGGTAGTTGTCCATCCCTCCTATTCTATGTGGTTATTTTAGCAGCTCTTCTGGCCTTCAATTCCCAGTACATCAAACTGCCTTTAGCATCATGATTGGTAAAAGCTGCTCACTCACTCTCACACCCGTCCCATATTCAGGACAATCAGTAATTGTTTTAATGACTAAGCTTCTATCCTTCTCCTGATTACCAAGCAAGCAGCTAAGTGGTCAGTTCTTGGCACCTCTCTCACCTGCATCCCTACCCAGGCTTTGCACTGTGACGAATGGTATCAAGAGATGGCTTCACAAAACTCTGATTATTGCTAGCTACCACGGAACTGATATTATGCGTCCTGTGACTGCTTCCTGTTTTCTGCCTGCCCAACACCTCCTCATATCCTTGCCATTGTCTCATCCTTAAGATGCCTGAAGATGAGGACAGAAAATAGCAGCAGAACAAGAGAGACTGGACAAGGACAGGAGATGGAGGACAGACTAGCCAATCTCCAGCCTGGCTTCTCGAGCATTCAGATGCTCACAGGCCAGCTTCCCTGTACACTACACGTGCACTGAATTGGGTGACCAGGACATGCCAGTGGGTCCTGGCAAAGATTCTCCTACTGTGGATCCCTACTGTGAAGTAAGAGCAGACTTGGAGATGGCATGCCACTATCAGTTAAAACCATTTATGATCAGCTCAGGCATGCAGCCTTTTCTGTGCAAAACTCCTGCAGTGAACACTCTGGGACCCAGTCCCACTGTCTCAGCCCAGTGCCCACTGTATCATGAGAAAGGTCTATATCCTGCGAAATAGAGATTTTCAGCCACATGAATAGCTGCAGTGGGAGCATGACAGCTCCATGCGTCAGCCCACACAGCAGCAAGTGTAGTTATGACTCACCTACTGCTGAGCTGTCTGTAGAAAAATCGTCCTCCCTGGCCACCTGCTATGCCTAACCCCTCTGAGTTATTTGTCAGAGGAGGCACAGGTATGAACAGAGTCATCACCACAAAAATTACTCAATCTTATATGAGTAATTGCTTCAATAAACAATCCCCAAGTTCCTTTGACCAGATAGTATAATAGAGAATAAACTAGCAGATACAAATAGACTAGTGAGATAGAGGATTCTATTTGACTGACTTGTGTTATAGAAAAAGGGTATGTGCTTTGCATTCTGAGTTCCAGCTTCCCTGCTTACCAGCTAAGTAGCTTTGGGCAGGTTCCTTAACCTTTTTATGGCTGTTTTTTTTTGTTGGTTGGTTTTTTTTTTCATGTTTAAATTGAAGAAAATAACACCCTTGCCTGACAGAGTTGCTGCATGATCCAAAAGATAATGTACATGAAAGCTCTTTGCAAATGGCAAAGCATTATGCAGTAATGAGTTATTATAATACAGTCTTCTAGCAGGGTACCAGAGCATCCCTTTCATCTCCCCTTACCTCCCACAATTCCTGGCCTTCACCAACCTCAAAGCCTTCTGTATGGAGCATGTTGAAGACGTACACACACACTCACAGAGTCCCAGTATGTGTCCCTGAGGATCAATTTTCATAGCTGGAGCTAGGCAAGACCTATTGAACCTCCTTGTTCAGAAACCCATGAGAAAGCACCAGCTGTGCACAGGTATCACCACTGACAGGGAGTATCTGTCCCAGAAGCCGGGGACCCAGCTTTTCCCTTTAAGCATGGCAGAAATTAACAAAGCATTTCTGGCCATTCTTCGTAATTAACAATGTAGGAAATGTCTGAGACTGACCTTAGAAAGAAGAAAAAGAATCAGAATTAGCAGGAGACAAGGGAGCTGGGGAGGGTCTGTGAAGACCACTAGCTCCGATGTCCCAGAAGAAATCAAGTCTCAGAGAAGTAGCTTGCTCTGGATGACACAGGGACAAAGAGGAGATAAAAGCCCAGGCCCTCCTTCAAGCCCTACTACCTAAAGTATAATCACCCATTCCTTTGCAATTCCATTTGGCTTCTAAATTGCTGATATAACTAAATAACAACAACAACAACAACAATAATAATTTCAAAAGGAACTTACCCAAAGAATTTTTCTCGGCTACAGGTGCCTGACCCAACAAGGGCCCCAAAGAACAGTAACCACCTCATGTCTCAAGGGTGTCAGTCACACACTGACTGAGTCAAGTTGTATTTATAAGGAGCCTGAGGCAGACTCATATCCTCAAAAATGCTAATGTGGTTCTCCAGCACCCTTCCAGCTCTGACGAGGCGGGCCCCAGCCAAGGCCTCCTCCATTCCTTTCCAGTGATGAAGCCTGAACCTCTCCATCTACACGGCAGGAACTTGCTTCACAGGCTGGAAACGTTTGTACCCAGGGTGCCATATTGCTCATCTTTTGGCATCTAAATAGTGTTTTTTGAATAAGTGGAAAGATCCCACAGTGCTGTATGGAATTTATACTGATAGGAGAGACCCGATTGTAAACTTGGGATAAAGCTACCTTTAGAGCAATTTAAAAAAAAAAAAAAATGTGAAGCTTAGCAAGCAACCATAAGCCAAAATTTATGGCCTCTTACAGATTTAAGGCCTAATTTTTAGAATTACATTAAGAAAATAGAAATATGTGTGGTAAATGGTATAGGAAGGAGGTGTTATTCTGAATAAATTGTTTCCTTCAGATCTGAATGACAAAGATTGATGAAGTTTGTTTTCTTTTTTTATTTTTAAAATATTTTATTATTTTTATTTTATTGGACAAGTATATTGTCTGCATGTATAGGAGTACAACCATGTCATGCAACGCTAGAGGAGGTCAGAAGAGGGGCTCAGATTCCCTGGGAACTGGAGTTACAGATGGTTGTTAGCCACAGTGTGGGTGCTGGGAATCGAACCCAGGTCCTCTGGAAGAGCAGCCAGTGTTTTTAACTGCTGAGCCATCTCTCCAGTCCCTTTTATTTTTATGAGACATGAGCTCTCTTTGTAGCCCAGGCTAACCTTGATCTCAGAGTCCTCCTGTCTCAGCCTCCCAGGTGCTAGGATGACTGGCTTGAGCCACTAACCCCAGCTCTTGATGAAACTAGGAATAATGAGGTTTTCTGAGGCTTCGCTACTCTATCTGGCATCTTTTCTACTAAGTGGAATAAATGGAAGATAGTCATGACATCGTGGCTTATTTTCAGGCTCTTCAGTCTTTGACTCTGTCCCAGAAGCTCCAGTTCTTCCCCTCCTGCTGTCCCATGGACTCTTTCCACATCTGCTCAAGGGGAGTAGATATAATCAAGGGTCATGGTTGCTAGTGTTGAGGGAAAATTATTCTGACACTTGTTAAAACAGGAAGATTTTACTCAATATTATTGCAGTAGAGATCACATGGCTACAGCAGTAGGGGAGGTGAACTGTTCTCAAGGCCAAATGCAGCAAAGATGGTAGAGGCATAAGAGGGTCAGAAGATAGAAAATTACTAAGAGGGGGGCTGGAGAGATGGCTCAGTGATTAAGAACACTGATTGTTCTTGCAGAAGAGCCGGGTTTGAATCCCAGCACCCACATGGCAGCTAACAACTATCCGTAACTCCAGTCCCAGGGAATCCGACAGCCTCTTCTGTCCTCCTTGGGCATTGCACAACATGGGTGCACTTACCTACATGCAGGCAATACACCCATACACATAAAATAAAAATAATAAATAAAATTTAAAAATAAAGTAAAAATAATAAAACATTTTTTTAAATTACTAAGAGGAGCCAGGCATGGTGGCATGTGCTTTTAGTCCCAGCACTTGGGAGGCAGAGGCAGGCAGATCTCTGTGAGTTCAAGGCTAGCCTGGTCTACATAGTGAGTTCCAGGACAGCTGGAGCTACAGGGAGACCCTGCCTCAAAAAGAAAAAAAAAAAAAAATTACTAAGAGGAAAAATCAAGGGTAGGATTTTGTTGTTTGTTTAGACAGGGTCTCACTATGTAGCCTTGGCTGGCCTGAAACTCTCTCTGTAGACCAGGCTGGCCTCAAGCTCATAGAGATCTGCCTACCTCTGCCTCCTAAGTGTTGGGGGTTAAAGGTGTGCACCACCGTACTAGGCAAGGTAAGGAAATTCTTATTAAACTGTCTTAACAGGAGTCTTGCTAAAGGCAGGCAAAAATTTATACATCAACAGTGAGGGATGAGGAAGTTAATCAGATATTAAGAGAGGGAGATGATTTACCATGTTTTCGCTAAGACTGGTTGTGATAGAGTCCAAGAACCAATCTAATAAAAAAAAAAAAAAAAGAGGGCACCAAGTCTAAAGCACAGCCCAAGAGGAAAGCCTCCATCAGAAATGGTGGAGCGAGGGTCTCTATCACCTCTTCCTTTATCAGAGCTCTGGGTCCTCCCAACACTTAACTGAACCTACACCCACCCTGTTCTCTGGGCTCTACTTCTCCAAGATAGCCTTTAAGTTAATAATAAAAGAAAGCAAGACTGAAATCCACTAGAGATAGGAAACAAAGAACCAAGTACCCAGAATTCTAGGCAAGCTGAAACCCACTTTCACCTTGTCTCCCACGGAACACCATCTATCTATCATCTATGTATCTATGTATCTATGTATCTATCTATCTATCAATCTATCTATCTTCTATCAATCTATCATCTATCTATATCTATCATCTATCTACCATCTATCTACCATCTATCTATATATCAATAGATAAATAAATAAAATTCTAAATTGTTAACGGACTGAATGTCTAAAGAGAATTTGTGTGAAAGCCAAGACCCAAACTCAATAGGGCAACCAAAAAGAAGGTACATCATTGGTTTGGGTCCCCATCAACGTTTACACCACAGCATGCCAAGAATGGAAAAGCAAAGGTAACAACAGTACCAAAGAATACACGGGTTGGATGCCTGGTGCCTTGGAACTGCTTAGTGTTGTTGATTGACTGAAGGAACTTAAAAGTCCATTGTTAACTCTGAAATGCTACACTGTTGAAATGAAGGCGTTCAGCTGGATATGGAAATCCATGCTTGTAATCCTGGCATTATCACCTGGGCTACCTAGTGAGACCCGCTCCCCCCATCTCAAAAACAAAACCAAAACAGCAATACCAGAGAGAGAGAGACAGAGATAGAGACAGAGACAGAGAGATAGACAGAGAGACAGAGGCAGAGAGAAGCAAGACAGAGAGACAGAGAAAGGGGTTGACACTTGCTACAACATTGATGAATCTTGAAAATATAATACTGAGTGAAATAAGCCAGACAGGATGACAGATACTGTGTGGTTCTGCTTTTATGAGACACCTAACAGTAAAATTTATAGAGAGTGCGGATAATAGCTGCGAGGCTGGAGGAATGATGGGGATTTATTGTTTAATGGGTAAGCATTTCAATTTGAGATAAGAAAAAGTTCTGGAGATGGATGCTAGTGACAGTGGTCTAGCATAATGAATATATTTAATGAACTATACCCTTAAGAATGATCAAGAGGCAACTGTCCCTTGAAGAGCCAGTACCCACACTTGGGCATGTCTTAATTGTTGAAGCTCTTCTTTGAGAAGCCCACACCTAAGATCCCAGGTGTGTCTTGCTTTTGTCTGAGTGCCTCTCTTTCTCTTAACCTTCATGCTTAAAATATTTTTATTAACCACCACCCTCCACACACACAAATGACCAACAGTCAGGTGTGGTAACGCTTGCCTATAATCTCAGTACTTAAGTGTTCTTAGCAGGAGGAGGATCAATTCAAGGCCAACTTCAGCTACATAGTAAGTTCCAAGCCAGCCTGAGTTACATTAAGACCCTGTTTTTAAAGAACAGTAAGTTTTGGGGCTGGAGAGATGGCTCAGCGCTTAAGAACACTGGCAGTTCTTGCAGAAGACCCGGGTTTGAATCCCAGCACCCACATGGCAGCTAACAACTGTCCGTAACTCCAGTTCCAGGGGATCTGACAGCCTCTTCTGTCCTCCGTGGGCACTGCACAGCATGGGTGCACTTACCTACATGCAGACAATACACACATACACATAAAATAGAAATAAATAAAATAGTTTTTAAAAAAAGAACAGTAAGTTTTATATTATGTATAATGTATCACAATAAAAAATTAAAAGGATGTTGGAAATATTTCACTTAGGACAAATTAAAGAAAAAGAGAGGTACAGCTCAGTGACTTGCTGTTCTGAGGCAACAGAAACTGAAGAAACAGGGGCTGGAAACAAACCTCAGTGGTGGAGTGCTCACTTAGCAAATGCAAGGCCCTGGGTTCAAATCTCAGCCCCACAAAAAGGAAAAAGCAGCTGAAGAAATGCTGCTTCCAGATTAGGACTAGGAAAGGAATAATCACAAGCCAGTGTTGCTTTATACCACAGAGATTTTAATGCTGCTTTTTATTCTATTCCACAGATGCCTAATAGGGGTGGTCTCGCACATGCTCCAGGATGGTCTTCAGGCCAAGCCAGGTCTCTTCTGCCGTGGGCACGATCTGCTTGGCTGGCAGAAGGAAGCCGTAGCGGCCTGTGTCTCTCAGTTCAAAGGCAAATGAGTATTTAATGCCAAAATCATAGGCCCAGTCGATGCTTCCACCACTGGCTTGGTCTGAGGGGCAAATGAAAATAAAGTCTGATTATACTGTTTCTGCTGACCTCTCACATAACCTCTTTATCAAGGTCCACCACAATGGAAGATAAGTCAGGCCCTATCTGCAGGGGCTACAGGAGGCATATTCTAACATGGGCTCATGCTTCTGAAGGAAAAAAACAGACCAGTGGTTTAAATCACAAAAGATGTTCAAATGGGCGCCATGTTTAACCTTTCTTTGGTGTTCCCAGGAGCCTCCAACTTTCTCTACCCATCCGGAACCTTGCTTGCTGCCCTGACAGGCATCTTCCCTAGCCTAAGGAGGCTACATCATCTCTTTCTTTACAGGGCACATGCCTTGTTTTCTGTAGTGGGATAGAAAAGATTGTGAATGGAGTGAGAGATTTGGTCCCTGGCCTCAGGGGACTCTCAGCATAAGGCTGGAGCAAGCTCCAAACTGATGTCATATCACATGCCCAGCTCCGGGATCTTGAGTAAGCCAGTACAGTAATGTGCACCTGGGATAAGTGAGGGCACTGACATGACACATGAAGAAGGAAGATGGCATTAGTATGACGTCCTCAGGCATTCATGACTTGGAAAAGCTGAGTAATGGACTGACCCTGAGGACCTTCCCCAAAGAGGGCAGGTAAAGGTCAGGCTAGGACAGACTTGGAGGAAGCCACCTGCTTGGTATCTAAGAATAGGGCCGGGAAGACCGGGGAGACTGTCCCAGGAAAGAGTCAGGGAAGAGATTAGCACTGTGAATTATAGATTGGCTATCCTTTATCCAAAAGTCTTAGCACCAGAAATGTTTTGGATCACAGATTTTTTTGAGATTTGGGGATATTTATAAATATATAATAAGATATGTTGGTAATGGGATCCTAATTTAAACATGAAATTCATTTATGTCTTATATTTCCCTTATATATACATAGCCTGAAGGTAATTGTATCAATGTTTTTGGTGCACCTATATTTTGACTCAGATCCTGTCATGTAAGATCAGATATGGAATTTTCCACTTGTGGCCTTTTGTTGGTATGGAAAAGTACTAGATTTAGAAGGATTTTAAACTGGGGATTTTCAGATTAGCGAATGCTCAATTTATAATCCCAAGAATTCCTGTGATTTTGGTCCTTTGTCTTTCCCCACAGCATCCATCAGAGTACCAATAAATAGAAATTACTAAATGGTTACTGACTAGAACTACAGATTCACTGGGACCAAAATTACCACCTTGTACCTTTGGCACAACCAATCCCACTAAGAGATGCAAGCAAGATAAAAATTCTGACTTCAGACTGAATCTTGACTCTGCAAGCTGGTGATCTAAAGTCAGTCACTTAGCTCTCTAAGTTCTAGAAGTTTCATCAGTCAAATAGGAATGATTTATAGAGGACAGTGAGAATTAAATATGAAAGTGTAGTAAGTACACTTACTGTTACTTACAGGTACTGTGAGTACCTGTTTGGTACTCACTAATGTGTTAGGCACATTAAATTGGCACATTTAAGGCCTACTTCAATCTGAGGTAGGTACTAGAATTGCTCCCATTGTACAGATAAAAAAAACTGAGATTCAGAGCAACTAAGAGATGGATCTATGATATATATGGAAGATAAGCACTCAATAAATGTCAGTGGTGGGCTAGGGATATAGCTCAGTGGTAGAGTGTTTACCTGGCATGCACTAGACTCTATGTTCACTCCCCAGTACTACAAAAAAATAAAATAGAATAATAAAATAATAAGTGTCAGGGGGCTGGATAATTGGCTCAGTGGTTAAGAGCACTGGCTGTTTTTACAGAAGAGCCAGGTTCAAATCCCAACCCCCACATGGTGGCTAACAACCATCCCTAACTTGTCCTCTGCGGGCATTGTACAACATGGATGCACTTACCTACATGCAGGCATAACACATACACATAAAATAAAAATATTTTTTTTAATGTTTTTTAAATAATAAAATAAGTGTCAGTTACTATTGCAACCATCATTATCAAAAAATGACTAGGATCTGGTCACACTAGACCACATCAAGCATCCACATGGAAGACAGCATGTCACTAGTCAACACTCACAGAACTTAGAGTCTGTGAGCACTTTTATTCCATATATTATTTTTCGAGTCTCCCAACAACCCATTTTACAGATGGAAAAAAAGGGGGGCGATGAGTGGCTGGGTTTCAAAGTAGCAGAGCTCTAACTCAGACCTTGGCCTCTTGCCCTAACGGTTGGTTTTTATCCCCTTCATCTTCCTTGGAATAAAATCAAGGGACATGTGTCCTTCTCTGGGACATGTGGACATGTGCAGCTCTTCAAAGCCCTTTGCAGATGGGACATTTTCTGGGAAATGTCTCACCCACCAAAGACATGCAGCTAGCTACCTCTTGGAGAGAGGTAGGCATTCATTCAGTCCAGAGCTGCAGAGCTGCATATAGCCTGGGGCAAGAGGCAAGAAGTGACTAGGGTCTTAGAGGCAGTGCTTCTGCAGATTGAGGTGAGGCGGAGTCTCAGGGGATCTGCAGCCATAACTTGCATGAATGAAGGAAGGGTCAGGTTGTAAAGGTTCACATGACAAACCTGCATATGCCTGATATTTACTTACTAGAACTGTCTTTGATATCTGTATCCTCAGCAAGAAATATACTAACCCTCAGCCTTCTGAGGTCTACAAGGCAAGGGAAAGGGAAAACTAGCATCTTTATAATAAAACAGATGAGTCCTGCATGGGATTTCAGGGGTATACCATGGCATTCTTCTGACATTCTAAATTCCAGCTGTACCCCAAAGCTGCCAAAGACACGAACTTCTCAGTCTTAAGTTGTCACCATGTTCTCAAGCTAGATCCACCTCTCTTTGCCCAGTGCCAACACTCAGGGGGTCTGAAGATACCCCAATAAAGATGAGGACAAGGGCCCATGATGATGGTGGTGTGGCTCAGTTGACAGAGTGCTTGCCTATCATATACGAAACCCTGGGTTCAACCCCCGAGCACCGCATAAACTGAGCATGTGGTGAACACCTGTAACCAGAGCACCCAAGAGGCAAAGATGGGAAGATCAGATGTTCAAGGTCATCCTTGGCTACAGCGTGAGTTCGAGGCTAGCCTGGGACAAATGAGACAGTCTGAAAACAAATCAAAACAAAACAATAAAGCCAAACCCATATGGAACATGGTTTTGAAAGTCTCAGCAACTATTTGCAGATCAGTGTTCCCAGAGAACAGTCTAAAACACAGATAACAAAAACAAAGCTGTTCATTCAGTTTGAGTAGACAATCTTGCCATGGGAATATATTCCCAAAAAACCATCTAACAGAAAAAGGAGTTTATAAAACATACTCATGGTGATATTATTTAACAAAAAGTTGGAATAATCCAAAGACCCAATAACTGGAACTTATCAATAAAATAAAACAACAAATACCTAGCATGAAAATACAAAATGCTTTACAGGAAATGGTGTTAACTTTATAAACAGATGAATGCAAGAAATAACACAGGCATTGATTCCAGCCAGCTAAATATGTCTGTGCTCACTAACAAAAAAATCATTAATGGAATTGAAAATGATAAAAAACATGATGAGCATTGCATTATTTTTCCTATAAAGATCTTTTAGTGTATCCTAGATAGCAACAACAACAAAAAAAAGATAAATCTAAGAAGAAAAACTTCTATAACTCATAGTAAGACGATATCACTTGGGGCTGGAGAGATGGCTCTGGACCTGGGTTCAATTCCCAGTACCCATATAGAGGCTAACAACTGTTTGTAACTCTAGTTCCAGGGGATCCGACACCCTCTTCTGACCACAGGCATTATAAAACACAAGTGCACTTACATGCAGGCAATACACTCACACACATAAAATAAAAAACTAATAAATAGTAAAAATTTTTTAATATTTTATTTATTATTTTTATTTTATGTGTATGAGTGCATTGCCTGCATGTATGTGAGTGCACC